AGTACAGTGAAGGAGATTAAACACTGAGGTTTGAGCCAGAGCTTGCTTTGTATGCAAGGTGCTGATATTTTGAGAATTGCTGACAACACTAGAGGGAGAGGCTTAGACTTCTGAATGGATGGCAACAAGCCAACATGAGCAGAACAAAAGCAGCAATCGTTTATAAAGAAGGGCCTGCTGGTGATCACAGTACACCTCAAATCAAATCAAATCAAGTTTTATTTATATAGCACATTTATAAAAGATTTTTGGTCGAGCCAAAGTGCTGTACATATAATAAAAATAGCCTAGAGACACTTTACAGCTAATACAACAGCACAGTTTGTTCAGAATATCAGTATGAGAAAAACGACACCCTCTATCCTTAGACCTGAATGAAGTTGTCTCTAAAATGACATAACAGGTATGGCTATGCTTTATTTTATGTATTGTACTTTACTCATCAATCATCCCTAGTGGTTAGAATCCAACATTTAACAAACTAAACACATTGTCTCAGAAAATTTTATAACAGCAAATTATATTTTCTAACAGTAAATATGCATGGCTGCTGTTCCCCTTCACATCACTGATGTCTGCTGCTCAGCAGGGGGCAGCACTGTCTTAGTTTACAGCAGCAGCAGCAGCATCGGTGAGAGTGGAAACGGATATGTTCAGGTTTTCATGCAAGGCCCATTTTTTATTGATCATGAGTAAGAGTCTGCCCTAGAAACACATTACAGTTAATCTGCTGAATTTGAAGCCTGAATAGATGAACTGTACCAATACCATGTTGTACCACAGTCTTTTTTTCCCCTTTATATTTTCTGAAATGTAAAACATGAGAAATTAATCCGAAATAAACTCTCAAAAAACAACTTCAACCAGATCACCTAAAAAGAAGACGTGCTTTTTAGGCTTATATTGAATTAAATGGTTCCGTTTGACCGTATAGAGACAGGGGAGTTCTGCACACCTTTGGGTATTTTATTTATTTTTTTCTCGTTCAAAGAAAAATGTTCAATCTAAAAGATCTTCCTCAGGAGTGGGAACAAGAAACAGGCATTTCTCATTGAGGCAGTAATGAACTCAAATGGCTCCTGAATGGGTATCTCTTCAATTTGTTACTGCAATATTCTCAGATTTGTTCTCTTGCATCCTTTAAAAACACGTAACAAGACAAGATAATCTACCAAACAGATCCTTAGTTTTCCTTGGTCAGCTTTCAAACAGATACAGTAAAACATGTCCTCCTGTACCTCTGTTATTCAGCAGGTTACTCTTGTGTCTGTGGGAGCATGTGCTTCATATCAGCCAGATCTGTGTGTCCGAATGCATAATGGGCTGCATTGACTGTCAACAGCCTGAGGCCCGGTTTTACCCCGGTTTTACCCCGGTGTGTGTGTGTGTGTGTGTGTGTGTGTGTGTGTGTGTGTGTGTGTGTGTGTGTGTGTGTGTGTGTGTGTGTGTGTGTGTGTGTGTGTGTGACTGCATGGAGGCCAGATCTTTGTCTTTGTATATGCATGCCCTCATCTCTTTTTCATACAAGTAAACAAAGGTGGATGAATACGCAAATGCGTGCTTTATAAAAGATAAAGTAGGCAATAGTTATCCTGTTTGCTGTTTCAATTACCTATAGCTTCCTTAAATGCTTTTTGTTTTTTTAAATAATATGTAACATTTTGACATTTACAGTTAAGAAAACCGAGCATTGAAAAGCATCCTCACTAAGAGGACTCTTTATCGTTGAAAGCAAATTCAAGGGATTTATCATTAAACTACTTTTTCTCAGTTTGTTTATTCCATCACTCTCCAGTCCTATAAAACAACTTTTTATGTCGGCTTTGAATTTATTTTTTGTCTTCAAAATTAGCCATTAAAAACGATTAAAATGTGCTACTCGGTTATAAAAGAAAAAGTAAAAAGATTGATTGTTAAAGCTAAACAAAAGTTATGATGTTAAATGTTAGTGATTTCAGATTAATTCATTCGTGATCACCTTTATGAATTACAAGGGCAGAGCTGAAAATAGATTCATATATTTTGGCCGAAAATGATTCTGATTTTTCTTTTGTCTTTTCTCCCTCTCATGATTTATTTATCCGCACAACCGCAACCCAGCCTCTTCCCTCCTCCTCTCTGTCCTACTTATGTACATGCTCTTTATAAATCACTGTCTCTTCAAGATGATTCAATCAAAGAGGAAACGTCCTTACTTCATCTTAGAAGTCAGACAAATAAACTCCTAGCATGTTTTAAGAACTAGTTTTAAGAACTAGTTACAATAATACAAATGTAATAAATTAAAGTAAATACAAGTAAGTACATTTAAATAAAGTAAATGTAATATACTCATCATTACATAATATAAATGAATGTAACGTATCCATACTAAGATATTGACTTTATTTTGAAGGAATTTAGAATCATGCTTGGGTAAAACTTGGTGTAACTCACAAAGATTTTCCAACTTTTGTATATGTTCTTATCTAATTTCACAATATCTGCCAAAATATTTTAAACAACTGTACATTAGTGTCTCCATCTGCTAAAAAGTTTACAAGAGGAGCCTATTTGAAAGTAAACATAAAACAATAATGGCGCTTTATGTCATACAAGAAAGCAATATGTATGAGCAGCAACTGTGACCTTTAGCATGAACTGTTAAAGAAATAGATCCAACATCATGTTTTGCTGAATTGTACATTCAGTTCGCAGGTTGTGCACAAACATGACAAATGAAACCCATCTGTCCGTAAAGCTCACAAACAACTTTGTCCATCCAACATGCTGAGCAGGGTGGCATGTATAGTCATGACCTAAACCCGAGAGAACATGATGTGCTCCCAGGTTTATTTCAGGCCAACACTTGGCCTCAGGTGTTGGAAGACAGAAGATGCCTCTTCTTATACATAAAGGGAGCAGTGATTCTGATCAGAGCCGTGTGATTCCTAGCAGTGACATGGAGAAATAAATCAACATAACAAAGTTTTTAATTAACGGGATGGGATTCAAATCAAGCTCATACTCTGTTACTGCTGTCTTCAGGCTGTGCTGATTGACAGAAAAACAAGGTCAGGTCAGGCTTCAGGATCTCAAAGTCACCAGGCAGAAAAAGACAACTCTCTGCTGGATCTCATCAGTGTTAGAGGATGCTCAAGAGAGTGAAAGTTCGAGAAAGAAATACATTTTATCTGCATGCAGCGAGATTTTAACGCAGTTGGCACAATGCAGTAAACCACTAGCAATCACGACTTAATTTGTCAGTGTTCCCGATTGGGCAAGAACATCCCAGTGCAAGCCTTTAATAAGAGAGCTGTGTGTGTGTGTGTGTGTGTGTGTGTGTGTGTGTGTGTGTGTGTGTGTGTGTGTGTGTGTGTGTCCATTGACATCAGGACAGCAGAAAGCCTACACATCTTCCGTCGCAGACTGAAAACTCATCTCTTTCGACTCCACTGCGAGCGATAGGATTACTAACAAAGAATTACTAACAAAGCACTTACCGGTATATCCTTCTGGGACCCGAGGAAAAAAAGTGTCTTCCAATTTCCTTTTTTTTGTGATTTCCTACCTATTTAGGGTTAAAAGGAATCTTGCAATTTAGACTTTTTTTATTTTATTTTATTTTTAAATGTTAAAGTATGTCCACTGTAGAGGACGTCGGGACCATATTAGTTTGAAAAGACAGTCAAAATGAACAGATAGACTATGTAATGCATTATGGTTATAGAGTGATATTAATACAATAATAAATTCACCTTTATTTAAAACTTGAATAAGTCATAGATCTGAACATTGCTGTTTATTTGGTCACTAAAAAACTAGTTTGGTTTTTGGTGAATCTCTCCAGGTCTTCAAAGACGTTATAGTCAATGTAGTGGGAAAAGTACCTCATTGACTCCAGTCGGCACGGGCTGTAGGGTCATCTTGACTAGTTGTATGGATGTGGTCTCCATTTGACCAAGCTCAGAGAAACAAAGCTTCCATTCCTGAGGCAACTCTCATTTTTCATGGCTCCACTTAAAATAAAAACAACAATAAGACATACGTGCTACTCTTGGCCCACAGAGGGCCATGTCTTTCCAGCTCGTCCCTATCTGTCTCTCTGTCTGTATCTGTGCGCTCATGGAGCCTCCTGCATCTCCCCCCCCCCTTCCTCTTGACCCTCTTCTATCCCAGGTGTGAAATCATCATCTCTCTCATCATCTGAGAGCTCAAAGTCTTAATCTCCCTGAACTATCTTGTACAGAAAATGTCTGCTTCAGTTCCGTCTCCTGCAACAAAATTGAGTCATTAAGTCCATGAAGATGGTCCTGACGTCCAATAGAATGGACATTTATAAAAGGACTGTTATTTGAAAACTTGAATTATTGAATTGCTTTCAGAACAAATTATATAGTTCCTCAGATGTTAATAAACAAGAACATGTATGATTTTCATGGTAAAAATTACAATTATTCAACAATATTTGACTTCTCCTCCTGCTTCTCTAGCATTTAGTTTTTGGTATGCCAGCCATTTTGGATGAAAAGAAAGAGGAACTTCCCAGCATGCAATTTTAACCAATGACATATCACTGGAAAGACCAGGATGTCCTCTGTACAGTACATCAGGGATTGATAGAGTAACTCAAAAGAGTCAAAGGAGATGCATGTTAACAAAATGTCCACTACAGTGGACATTTTTAAATGGGCTGGGTCCCAGGAGGATATACTAATAAAGGACTGGCTTATCTAAAGCCAGTTGAGTAGCACTTGAAATGTTTTGGCTCTATGAAACCTGATGTACTTATATGATTCTGCTTTCTTCAAGTTTGTATCTTCTTGGTCGAATGCACTTATTGTAAGTCGCTTTGGATAAAAGCGTCAGCTATGCAATGTAAGTGTGTGTGTGTGTGTGTGTGTGTGTGTGTGTGTGTGTGTGTGTGTGTGTGTGTGTGTGTGTGTGTGTGCAGTGGGCGTGGAGAGAGAGATGGCTCCTTCCCTGAAGCCTTTGAGCTGAGCGTCATATGAGCCCAGTTGGAGAGAAGCGCACCGATCATCCAATGGGTCAATCTCAGCGAGTGTATCCCCAGTCTGGACCCTGTGAGCGGCTCTGACAGATTTCTCCGCAGCGACACACACTTGGCAGCGTGTAGTCACCTGGAGAGTTTCTTTTTTTCTTCTTCCTAGAAGTCAACTCGAGAGAAAAAGCGCAGCAGCGATGACAGCCGAGTTTATTTCACGTGGAAGTGACTGAGACCCGCATCGTTTTATCCGATTGACTTTTCTGTGAGGATGCAAAGGAGAAACAGGATGAAGTCCGTTTTTATAGCTTTGTTACTCGGCGTGGTGAGTACAAAGTTTGTTTAAATTTCGACCGTAAACTTAACGCCTGCGCAACTCAACACATTAAACACGTGTAGTTGTTTATTTTATTAACTCTCTTTTTCCTCCGTCCAGTCTTCAGCCTTATCACGTTTTGACAGGGAATCCCCCGGAAAATCTCTGTAAAGTTAGAATTTCCCCTGCAACAAAGTGAGATTTAGCCTACTTCGTGACAGCTTACATTTCACTAGTTTGATCTTTACTTGTAAAAATGTCTTTAGCAGATATTTTATCCCTGGAAACGATAAACTCCTTTCCGTTGCACCTGTCCTGAATGTCTCATGTAATGCAGAGCGGATGTATGCCACAGCCATTCAGGTTGATACTCTATAGCTCCAGTTGCTGGATCTCTATAGTTCCACCCTTCTCAGTTACATGTGGCCCTTCAGACAGCAGGACAATAACACTGCCACAGTGGCCCCATGCGCAGTAGGAGCTGGCCAATAAACCACGTGTTAACTGATGAGGATGATTTACTGTAATTTCCTTGTCAAAGCAGGAATCAAGAAATCTTGAGAGGATGTAGGAAGATCTGGGGATTTTATCCTCTCCCTACTTTCCCCCAGGCCAAGCAGGCTCAGGAAGGAAATATATTTTCAAGTATGTTTTCTATCTGACAGGACATAGCTCGCCAGGGTCCTGTTTAAAGAACAGGCTGCACCACTGATACATGACAGCTGCCCTCACTGATGGCTATGCATCCTCTGCTGGCTCAGCACATGCAATATTGATACAGCCCAAAACAACCCCCTCTTACTCTTCCTCTCCTCCTTTCACTCTCTCATCTTCCTCTCTGTCTGTTTGCTCTTCATCTTCATAACAGCTGTTGATTCAGCATTGTTTGGGATGGCATTAGCTGTAATGTCATTGCCAGAGTTGGAAGATGTACTCAGATATTGTACTTACATTAAAGTAGAAGTACCACAGTGTGGGAATACTATGTTACAAGTAAACACCCTGCATTGCAAATGTTAATCAAGCAAAAGTAAGAGAGTATTAGCATCAAAATATACTCAAAGTTGGTCCATTTTTTATAATATATACAATATGTTTTGTTGTTATTATAATTATGAATGCATTACTGTGATGTCAAAGCTGGTAAAGGTGCGGCTAGTTTGAATGACTTTGTATACTGCATGGTAGCTTGTGAATTTACTCTAGGTGTAGTTGTATTGTTATTTAAGTGTTTATTATATTTCATATCATTAATCCAAATCTGCAATGTTACTAAAAGGTATTAAATAAATGTAGTACAAGTACACACTTTACCTCTGAATAGTAGTGGAGTAGAAGTACAAAGTCTCTCAAAATTGTACTGAAGTACAGTACATGAGTAAATCTACTTTCCACCACTGGTCATTGCCCATGTTCATCAGGATCAATGGCTGGATCTAAATAAGGCCCATCATGAAGGAAGGCTATAGAGGAACTCTAATGGTCTAACGAGTGCTGACAGCTGAGGTCCAGAGGTTAAGTGCCTCCAACAGAGAATTGACTGCAGCATTAGTAAGATGGGTTGCTCTAGAGATATGTGTCCAGATGCTCCTGCGCATGCTTCAGTACACGATTGTTGATGTGCATTTGCTTTCTTTCAGCTGCAGGGAGTTGGGCTAACAAAAGTTGAAATCCCAAACTTCCCTCTCGTAACCAATTACAGGAAACTCGCAAGTCGAGCTCAAACTTGCTAAGTGCATCATTCTCTTTCATTCCACCAGCTATTTGCTCAAGTTACATTACCCTCTAATTCATCTGTATGCACAATTTAGCAGTCATTAGTGATGCACTTTAATCTGAGTTTTCTACATTTGAGGCGCTTTGGAGTTGCACCCACACCCGGAGCTAGAATATAGGTAAAAGAAAGACTAAGTAGAAGCCAAGCTCCGGGTTTTTGGAGTTGTTTCAAAAGTGTCAGTCGTTTTGGAGCAGGTTTGTTCACATGAAAGGCTGTTTATGCATTTTCGCAAACCTATGCGTGCCGATGGGTGTGTACAATATACAAGGGGGCAGTGCAGGGGAAGCGTGTTTGATGACAGATTTGATCCATCTCTAATTGAATGCTTGTTGTATAAGCTGTGTGTGGTAGGGAGCGATAAAAAAGGGACAGGTGAGAGGGAATACAGATAAATCAAATTAGTTTATTTAATGCAATGTAAGCGTAAAATCTCAAGTGAAAACTTGACAAGAAAATATATTTCTGAAAAGCATTTTTGTGTTTATTTAGTGAAATGTATTCAGAATTATTCATTTAATTCAAATCAAAGCATACAATCACCAATAGTAGAGCAACTGCAGGGGGAAAACAATGTTTTTGTGTCCGCAGAGGTTCTTTTTTTTTTGTAAAATCCGGATCGTTTCAGGAAATGTTACAATAATATCAGGCTTGTCTCACGAAATGTTAAAAGTCGCCCCCACAAAGATTAACACACATCTTTCGAACACGCACGTCGTAGTTAACTGAATATCGGAGAGTTGAAGGTGAATGGGTCGTGACATCATCAAGGGCAAGAGGGAAACGTGTGTGCACAAAGACACACACACACACACACACACACACACACACACACACACACACACAAACACACACATTATCTGCCAGCTGACTCACAAGTGCCTGAGGGGACACTTGATGTTTTTTTAGAGCTCGTCTCTGTCAGCAACATTCCACACACACCTGAGCCCTGACGATTTATGCCGAGCGTACCGCCTTCAGCCTTCTCCCAGTACGCGCGCGCGCGCGCGCACACACACACACACACACACACACACACACACACACACACACACCCTTAAATGAACTAACCGGTCTGCCAAAAATAATCATTCAACATATAGGCCATATATTATCTCAATGACACTTTACATCAAGATATAGCTTGTTCTCTGGTAACTCAGTAAGACATTGTTTGTATTAAATAAAAACATGGTCACCATGGTAATGCCTTTTTCCAACACTCCTCTGAGTTATAAACTTCACAAATAAAGTATTGACACAGTTTAAGGACTTTATTGCAATACGAATGCAGTTTCTAAGGGAAATTACAGAAAATAAGCCTAGTCTATGTCTTGATAGAAATGATTTAAACAACAAATATATACAGTATGCAGGACATTTGTATTGATTATATATCCATATTTCTCAGACCTACCTCAAATTGTCATTATTAGTGCACGGCTCAATCTTACAGAAGGCAAAATGATCTGGAAACCATTAAATCTATCAAAGAGAAAAATGATTCACATGAGGAAACTGCACTATACTTTGAAGTCCCACATCAGCTATTACAGATCTTAAATCAAAAACAATGATCTGCGTCTTATCTGTCAACAAGTCAGCGAGTTGCTGCCAACAGGATAACAAGATAACCTCATAAATAAAAATAATCTCTCCTCAGGTATCTGGATTTAATTAAAGACAGGCTTCTGCTGGCCGGGTGTCAGAGGGCAAGCCTCTACTCTACTTTATCAAAGTTTGCAGAAACTAAAAGGACCCAGTGGGAGAAAGAAAAAAAGTAGGATAAAATGCATAAGGTCGCACAAAAAAAAGACTTCTGGAAACATCCAGGCCCTGATGTGAAATGTGAGCGTGTACTCTCATGCAAATGTAGCAGCACGCATAAACATCTTCCACCTGACATCAGGAAAGATAAAGCACTCAACAGGTTATTGTTTGAAGAATGCAGAGAACACACAACCCATCATTAACTGTGTGTGTGATTTTTTTAACTTTTAAAACTGTTCCTGGGAATTTAGTCCATCCATCCATCCATCCATCCATCCATCCATCTTCTCCCGCTTATCCGTGGTCGGGTCGCGGGGGTAGCAGTTCCAGCAGAGAGCCCCAAACTTTATTTTCCCTGGCCACATCAACCAGCTCTGACTGGGGGATCCCAAGGCGCTCCCAGGCCAGCGAAGAGATATACTCCCTCCACCTTGTCCTAGGTCTACCCCTTGGTCTCTTCCCAGCTGGACGTGCCTGGAACACCTCCCTAGGGAGGCGCCCAGGTGGCATCCTTACTAGGTGCCCGAACCACCTCAACTGGCTCCTTTCGACGCGAAGGAGGAGCGGTTCAACTCCGAGTCCCTCCCGGATGACTGAACTTCACACCTTATCCCTAAGGGAGACACCAGCCACCCTGCGGAGAAAACCCATCTCGGCCGCTTGTATCCGCGATCTCGTTCTTTCGGTCATCACCCATCCTTCATGACCATAGGTGAGGGTAGGAACGAAAATGGCGCGGTAGACAGAGAGCTTTGCCTTCTGGCTCAGCTCCCTTTTCGTCACAACGGTGCGGTAAAGCGACTGCAGTACCGCTCCCGCTGCTCCGATTCTCCGACCCATCTCACGCTCCATTGTTCCCTCACTCGAGAACAAGACCCCGAGATACTTGAACTCCTTCACTTGGGGTAAGGACTCATTCCCTACTTGGAGTGGACAGTCCATCGGTTTCCTGCTGAGAACCATGGCCTCAGATTTGGAGGTGCTGATCCTCATCACAGCCGCTTCACACTCGGTTGCGAACCGATCCAGTGAGTGCTGAAGGTCGGAGACCGATGAAGCCATCAGAACCACATCATCTGCAAAAAGCAGTGGTGCAATCCTTAGTCCACCGAACTGCAGACCCCCTCCCCCACGACTACGCCTCGAAATCCGATCCATGTATATTACAAACAGGATTGGTGACAAAGCGCAGCCCTGGCGGAGGCCAACCCTCACCTGAAATGGGTCCGACTTACTGCCGAGGACCCGGACACAGCTCTCGCTTTGGGAGTACAGAGATTGGATGGCCCTGAGTAGAGACCCCCTCACCCCATACTCCCACAGCACCTCCCACAGTGACTCCCTGGGAACCCGGTCATACGCCTTCTCCAAGTCTACAAAACACATGTAGACTGGATAGCGTACTCCCAGGCCCCCTCCAGGATCCTTGCGAGAGTAAAAAGCTGATCCGTCGTTCCACGACCAGGACGGAATCCGCATTGTTCCTCCTCAATCTGAGGTTCGACAATCGGCCTGACCCTCCTTTCGAGTACCTTAGAGTAAACTTTCCCGGGGAGGCTGAGTAGTGTGATGCCTCTGTAATTGGCACACACCCTCTGATCCCCCTTTTTAAAAAGGGGAACCACCACCCCGGTCTGCCACTCCTTCGGTACTGTTTCCGACTTCCACGCAACGTTGATGAGACGTGTCAACCATGACAGTCCCTCAACACCCAGAGCCTTCAGCATTTCTGGGCGGATCTCATCCACCCCCGGGGCTTTGCCACTGTGAAGTTGTTTGACGACCTCAGTGACCTCCCCCCGGGAGATTGGTGTCGATCCCCCGTCATACTCCAGCTCTGCCTCTAACATAGAGGGCGGAGTTGTCGGGTTCAGGAGTTCCTCAAAGTGTCCTTCCAACGCCCTAACACTCCATCAGTTGAGGTCAACAACGTCCCATCCTTACTGTACACAGCTTGGATGGTTCCCTGCTTCCCCCTCCTGAGGTGTCGGACAGTTTTCCAGAACAACTTTGGTGCCGCCCGAAAGTCCTTTTCCATGTCTTCTCCGAACTTCTCCCACACCCGCTGCTTTGCCTCGGCCACGGCTGAGGCTGCTGCCCTTCGGGCCTGTCGGTACCTTGCACTGCTCGGGAGTCCCCCGGGATAACAAATCCCTGAAGGCCTCCTTCTTCAGTCGGACGGCTTCCCTGACCACCGGTGTCCACCAGGAGGTTCGAGGGTTACCGCCCCTTGAGGCACCTAGGACCTTGAGACCACAGCTCCCCGCCGCGGCTTCGGCAATAGAGGCTTTGAACACCGACCACTCTGGTTCAATGTCCCCAACCTCCACAGGAATGCCCGAAAAGCTCCGCCGGAGGTGTGAGTTGAAGGCCTCCTGAACTTGGGCCTCCTCCAGACGTTCCCAGTTCACCCGAACTACACGTTTGGGCTTACCAGGTCTATCCAGAGGCTTCCCCCGCCACTCGACCCAACTCACCACCAGATGGTGATCAGTTGACAACTCCGCCCCTCTCTTTACCCGAGTGTCCAAAACATACGGCCTCAGGTCCGATGATACGATAACGAAATCGATCATGGACCTTCTGCCTAGGGTACTTACTTACCACGTACACTTATGAGCATCCTTATGTTCGAACATGGTGTTTGTTATGGCCAATCCATGACTAGCACAGAAGTCCAGTAACAAACCACCACTCCGGTTCAGATCAGGGGGGCCGTTCCTCCCAATCACTCCCCTCCAAGTGTCTCCATCATTGCCCACATGTGCGTTGAAGTCTCCCAGCAAGATTAAAGAGTCCCCTTCAGGAGCCCCATACAGGACTCTTTCCAGGGTCTCCAAGAAGGCCGTATACTCTGAACTGCTGTTGGTGCATAAGCACACACAACAGTCAGAGTTTTCCCATCACCGTATAATAGCATGGGCCCTTTCTCACTTCTCTTATTGTTCCATACCCTCGCTCCTCGTCTCAAAGTCTGCACCGGAGTTGATTTGTCTGCGCCAATCCAGAAGTAGCGTCCCATGCCTTATTTTTGTCCGGAGGAAGCGAGGAGCGATAATGGAGGAGTTATAATCGAGGAACCACCAGACCATCCTCCGATGACATCCTCAGACACTCGGCCCCGCCCCCAGACTGTGTATCAGCGACGGCAGTCAGGGGAGGCCGAGGCCTCACCTGTCATACCTCCACTATCACTGACACCCTTCTGGCAGCGCACCCGAATCGCTGTTTACTAAAGTGGTCGGCACGGACAGCAGAAGTGGGGAGTGTATGCCCACGTCGCTTTTTCGGGCTGTGCCGGCAAATTTGAGCAAGCCGCCACCAGACGGTCGCGACGAGTAGTGCCGGCAGGGCGAGCTCTGCCCTCCTCGTAGTCCACAGTAACCTTGCTGGCGTGGGCACTTATTTTGTGAGCGAGACTCAAAGCCAGTAACTCTGGTGTGAGTTGAGGCACAGATGAGCTCTGCTCACCTCAGATGTTGTCACACCACAGAAACTGTCTGGAAAAGTGGCAGAAGCGCATGCCTGTTACACATCCTCACTGAAGTCACCATGTAAATATGTAGATCCCTTTATTAAATTTATACTCGTCTATTGTCTCTAAATAGTTATTTCACGTATATATGAATATTTAGACTCGGTGGTCTCATCATATAACGGAAATGAAAAAAGCAGCAGGAGAGGCGCATAAACCTCTGCCGCTTGAGCCCACAGGTCTGTTGATACTGTTATTATAACTCGCAGGACGGGAGACCATACACAACAGTCTAGACAGTTTATGAAAACTACAGTAAGACCATGTGAGTTGACCATTTATCCATTTTTACCTGAATATAGTTGTTAGTCCAGTAAGGTGACCCTGGACTTTATCTTCATAGTCAAGCTGTTTTATACCACATACTTGTATGCATAGAATGGGATCTTACATGGAAAGAACAATCCAATATTTAGATTTTGGGTATCCTTTTGTTGAACGGTCTGTTTAAAATGAATCGAAGCATCAGACCTAAAAAAGCTTTTTTGAAAATAACCGAATATTTTGATTAAGGTCAAAATATAATATTTGTTAAATCTGATCTGAAAGAGTCAGTGCCTCAACCAGCCTGGAAGCTCACCCGCAAGTTCCACTGCTGTGTATCGCTCACTGATTTGGACGATGCAGTGTAATGCACTGATGTGATGCTTCTTGACATGAGAGCAGTTTCCCAGCGAGTGAAGAAAATACATGAACTCACGGGGAGTCACTCCTCAGTTTATACTGTCTTTTTTAAATGTATCATTTAGTTACAATATTGATATATCTGA